GTGTGTGTGTGTGTGTGTGTGTGTGTAAATCAGAGAGGAGTGTGTGCTGTGGACAGGTCATCAATGGGTCCTCTGGTTCTGTGCATGGAAATGCAGACAGATTACTGAAGAGCTCAGACCCGAGCTCACCCATCCATGATGCTGAGTCTTCGTGTTAGTGTTGGAGCACGCTGACTAACAAGTCTAACATGCAGTTAATCACAAGCATATCATTTCATCCAAATTGGTGTGTGTGTGTGTGTGTGTGTGTGTGTGTGTGTGTATGCGTGCACATGTCATATGTTGCATGTGCTAATAGGCATCACTCACAGTGTCACAGCCAATCAGTTTTATGACCGCAGCATCCATAAATCTCTCTTCATGTATTAACCCTCTTTCTCTTTCGGTTGCTCCTCTCCTGTGACCTGAGTGTCTCACCGCAGACACATCTGTTTACGGCCGTCTGAGAGGACACGCTGAATCAAAGAGGCGCAGAGAGGCGCTGTGTGAAATGCCCTCATTGATCATCAACCTTCCTTTGTGCTGGTTTACTGGTAAAATGGGACAATCCAAAACAAGGCCTGAGGGTCAAATTTGGTTCTGAACAAGCGCGCCTTTTTATTCTAAACGGTCACAGAGAAACAAAGATGCATTGTTTAGACCTATTTGCTCCAATTTTAGCGTGAAATCTATAAACTATAAATGTTATAATGTTGTAAAGCAGAATTCTTTAAAATAAAGCTTCTTGTTACATGTTTAAAAGACAAATCACATAATTGTCTTTCATCGTTTTTATATTAGATTTATTTGCCATGCGTGTATTCTGCGATGAATCAACACAGTCACTCTTTTCAGATGACAAGGAGTAGAAGTTATAACAATAACTGCAGAGGCTTTATTAAAAGCTCTTTTTCATTTGTCTAAATTATGATTCATGCGACTTACAATGACGCACTCACACAGAGAAACACTTGAGAAAATCCAATACTGAGCTGATGAGGTTACTCAGTGTCTTTAATTTGATGCATTTTGAATTACGTGTCATATTAAACGTCTGTGGACAAACACTCCTGTCCAGGATTTCACTTAGACTGAATGAAAATCTTTGGGACATGCTAAATTCCTAGGTACGTAGATTTTTCCAGAGAAAAAGCAATATGATAAATCACTTTCTTTGCCACTGGTTGATGAGAGGATCTGCACTTGCATCTGTGAGGTGAATGTGAAACTACAGCCAGCATACCTTAGCTTAAATACTGAAAACAGGTTAGCTCTGTCCAAAGCTAACAAAATCTGCCTCCCTGTTTTTTTATCTTGCTGACTCCTTCTGATTTGAGCAAAGATCTACTGGCCTCTGTAGCTTCGTATTTAATGTAGAGTGGTATCAACCCTCATTTCCCAAAATATCAAACTATTCCTTTAAAGTAACCTGCTACAACTAATATTGGGTGTTTCCATTACTTTGTCCACTCCCTGTTACTCCAGCTGGTCTCTATGTGTCTTCACACGCCACCATCTTTTTATCTGTATTGATTGTTAACCACTTTGCTGATATTGACCAATAACCTCTCTGTCTGGTGAGCGGGTCTGAAGGGCGTTTGCATGTCTGGATGTTGAAGCTGCATAATATTAATGCATTTTAACAAGAAGAGCAACAGATTTAAGTGTGGACTGAGGAAGGACAAAGAGAGTGAGACAAAGACTGCAAAAACACATTTTGAACTGCAGAAAAGTTAATAATATCATATATAAATAAATATTTGTTGTACAAATGTTACAAAGAAGGTAAGGGGTTATGGGGTGCATGTAAATATATAGAAAGAAGAGGTGGTGCATATGGAATACAACCCATGTTGACTGGTGTCAGAATTCACTCCCAAAGGACCATGAAGCTGAGCAACACAGTGATTCATGGATTCATATCTTGTGCACAGCCAACACACTCTTTCAGAGAGTGGCATGCATGATGTCATCTGATCTGTATGACTCATGCAACATAGATAGTTTTGGGATTCAAAATGAAATCATATTTAGGAGAACAAAGAAAGACGGAAGAAGGTCATCTCGGAAATAATTTA